TAGCAAATTTATAAGTAATCCAAATAATGATCATTGGAAGGCTTTGACGAGGGTTGTAAAGTACTTGAAGTACAGCTTAACCTATGGATTACACTTCACAAAATATCTTGCAGTACTAGAAGGATATTGTGATGCGAATTGGATATCTGATAAGAAGGATTTCAAGTCCACTAATGGTTATGTATTCACCATTGGTGGAGCTGTTGTATCATGAAAATCAACAAAGCAAACGTGCATAACTCGATCAACGATAGAATTTGAGTTTATTGCTTTGGACAAAGCTGGAGAAGAAGCAGAATGGCTTCAAAATTTCTTAGAAAATGTTTCATGTTGGCCTATGCCGGTACCTACGATAAGTATACATTGTGATAATCAATTGGAAATTGGAAGGACTTGAAGTAGCATGTATAATGGTAAGTCTAGACATATTTGTCCCAGACACAACACCAGCAATTGATCTCAAATGGTGTTATCTCCATAAATTATGTAAAATCAAAGGAGAATATTGCGGATCCACTTACAAAAAGTTTGTCTAGAGATTAAGTACGTTTGCCTATCGAGAGGAATGGGATTAAAGCCTACTACGTAAGAGTTTTTGCAATGGTAACCCTACCTTATTGATTGAAGATCCCAAGATCTTGGTTCAAAGGAATAACTAAGTTGTGAAAATTTCATGAAACACTTAGGAAATTAGAATTCCTAACTCATTCTTATGATAGTAAAGTGCTTTCTGTAGAGTGGATAGAGGTTAAGATTATCTTTTAATGATTCCTATATATTGATTAAGTCAAGTGGAGTAGGGCAGAATACTCTTAATAAGAGGTCACTTATGTAAGTGTGAAGTGGGGCCGCTTCGATGAGAATTATTTAAGGCTTGAATTCTCTAAATACTTATGAAATCAAGAAGGGTTCAGGTCATGAGAACTAAATACAGAATAGGGAAGATATCTGTGTGAGTAATATTGTCTTGATTTACACCAAAGACTGAGTGGTTCAAAACCTATGGTTCACCAATTAGCCGAGTAAGTCCGATAGTATTTCACTAA